AAATCAAAAATTGTTGCTGTGTGAATTCTCATTTAGTATTGCTCATTCAGGCCGGCAATATGTCAGAATTTTCCTTTCAGATGGATGAGATAATATACGCTCTGAAAGACTATATAGTCGGTTTGAACTGTGGACGATGGGATTACATCTTCTCATACATCAAAGTTTTCAGAAATCACCGCAAATTCCTCCTTCCTGATCGCTTCCAAATCAGTTCGTTGTTCATTAAATATCGCTCGTTCTAGCTTCGATAGTTTTATCAAATTTTCTGAGTCCAAACCAAACATATGATCAATGGGCTTGATTCCATGAGAGCGATGCATTCGCCTCACAGAGCACAGAATACATTATGAATGTATTAAGTGTAATAGCCTATGAAATTATCATCACCAGATTAGGCGAATATAGATGAGCCTTCTTGGTGAGTTAAACATGCTGGTATTTTATCTAACAATAAGAATGACTGATTGATGCCCACAGCAGTATCTAATCTTAAACTAAAATGTTGTAAGAACTGATATTTTATCTCTTTATTCTAATCATAATCAATCTGAAATTCAGCAATGACAGCACCATTTTTACGTGCTTATGCGTTGGCCAGCATCAAGGTTTGCCATGCTCGAAAAATATCGGCAATGGGTGGAATGGCTGCACAAATCCCGATCAAAAACGATCAAATAGCGAATCGTAAGGCCCTCGCTTTCGTCAAACAAGACAAAGAACGAGAGGCAACTGATGGTTAGTAATAAACCTTCTTCTTTTTTTTTTCAGGATCAATCGCACGTTAATCATGTTCACCAAGTCACGATTCAGATCTTGAATTCGAGTTTGCTTCAACATTCTTCGGAAATTTAAAATGTTCAGTAGTGCTATCTAATTGAAATATGTGCGCGTGAATCTTTGAAGTGGAATTTTGCGTGATTAATGTGTAAAATCCAACACAATGAATCATTTTCATAGATATTTTTGTTCGAGCAGAGTGGCTCCAATTTGAAATTTTTTTGGATCGTCATTGAAAGTTCATCAATTGAAGGACACGACGGCACATGGGTGGCACATCCAGATTTAGTGAAAGTTGCACGGGATGTGTTCGATACAACGATGCCACAGCAGAATCAAATCGATAAATTACTGAATTCGGTCTCGGTGACCAGCGAAGATCTGACAGCAATACCCGAAGGAACACGCACTGAACGTAGTTTCCGTCATAATATCGCCGTTACACTCGGTGAGTTCGCATTGAGCATTCAGATGGTGATTCAGCTTCATAACAACATCGTTCGTCATTCTGTAGTTGTTAAGAGTTATCTGCTACGAATGAAACAGTGACAGTTTATTGACTGTCAAATCGCTTGTGACAGCAAATTTTCGGTGAAGTGTTTGTAATGCGTGATTTTTGAGAGGGTCTGGTTTATTACAGTGAATGGGCGTAGAGAATGGACAATTTTCAGGATATATGGACTCGTGGTTAAGTGGAGTCGGTTGCGTGCCGTTGTATAATCTGATGGAGGATGCAGCTACGGCCGAGATCTCGCGTGCTCAATTGTGGCAGTGGCTTCATCATGAGGCTAAATTTGAAAGTAAAATTTTCACTATTGAATTCACACATCAGCTTACATGAGTTTTGATCGACGTATAAGACCACATTGTCAGGCAAACAACTTAACTTAAATTCAATCCATGATGATCCGAACTGAATTTACTGAGTGGTAACAATAATTATACTGGCAGTAACAATGTCGATTTTCGTTTAAATATGAATGATTCGTTCGCAAAAAAAAGAAAGTAATTTTTGAAGATGGCCGAACAATTGACGTCGAAATGGTTCGTCAAACGATTGCGGCCGAAATGGAACTCCGTATGATTCGAGCTGGTTCAGTCGTGAATCGAATCCCTGAAGCAGCTGAACTGATTGAAAAACTTGTAACAGAACCTGAGCTTTCCGAATTCCTAACACTCGATGCCTATGATAAACTCGTCTCAGAAGGAAAGTAAACCAAACCATATGCTCATCGCCATCCATCAAATGAATCATGAATAATTGATAATGTTTTCAAAAAAAACTGTAACTCTGCAAATCCGATGCAATAATTATGTAACAAAGTTTACAATGACTGGTAATAATATTATGTTGCATCACCATATTCTTATGTTTTGCTGATCCCCGGGAATGCGTTGAACATGTCGAATCCAAGTATTCGTCGTAATGTGATCGTCACTGCTCGATCATTTCATGTATGCGCAATTTTCTCTTTTTATTTCATTGTTTTGGTTTTCGCAAAGAAAACTTCAATTGAAAATGAAAATATGAGAAGCTCAGTAAGTTCCCAATAGGATTTAATGTGTCCCCAGAAATGGCTTTCATATATATGAACATTCCTCAAAAAAAAAATTCACGCATTCAATGACCTTGCATTCATCGTCGCCATCATGAAACTTC